TGATGATTCAAACTGGCCAAAGACTCGCCGAAGTAAGCCGACATTCTTCATAGCAGCAGACGAAACCTTGGTACAATTGTTGGAGCAGCTTAAATCCTCTTGAATAACAATACCTAAGTCCTTTTCGCTAGAAGTAGTCCCCGAGGAAATACGATAATTTCCTCTTGTGGCGCAGGGATAGGCCTTTGTATTTAGAAAAACTAAATTCAACGTCGTTCTCCTCAGACCATTGATAAGCTGCGTTGAGTGATTCCTGAAGTGTTAGAGAGCCCGCTTGTTCTGTTACTGTGTTCCAGATTTTGGCGTCATCTGCAAACAGTATTGTTTTTGGGCCTTACACTCTGGGTGGATCAATAATGAAGGTGAGGAACAAACGGGGACGGAGTACGGACCCTTGTGGAACACCGAGGGTGGCTTTGACAGATCCGGATATGGAGTCATCTATCAAACAGCAATGCGTATTTATTCATTCCGTTCTTATCACTTCCTCTTCATCTTTATTCTTTCCTATTTGCGCATTGGACTGGGTCCAGTTCATGTTCTGAATCGTGATAAGCTGATAGATGTCTGTTTATAAATTTGTGAACATAAAGCCACTACTGATAATGAGTGTGCTATTGTATCCGTGTGAAGTTTCGGCCTGCGCCTCAGTTGGTTCCATTTTACGCCCCACAAGGTTGTAACAGCTGCTCAGTCCTCCAAAAACTTTGCTTTTTCCTCTATGCGATGATATGTTTCATATAATTGAATTAACCACCACTCCTTCCCTGTAATTATGTCGTCTTCTAGGCCGAAAACAGAGTAAGTCAGTGGTTGAAGTCAAGTCCTAAAAAAGATTTATCCACTCGATAAGGTGAATTTTCGGAATTCTCAATCAGGTTGGGTTGACAAAAGTAAATAAAAAGGAGTAAGAGATGAGAAGCTCATCATAAGGGAGTAAAAGATAACTTTACCATAAAAGAAAATCTATTGATATCCTAATGATAGGTGTTTGATATTTTAGAATATGGGAAACACCAGGAACGATACTAATGTGGCAAATGTTAGTACTTGCAGGGAGAAACCTAAATTCGGGAACGAGAAGAGAGATGAGATGCATTTATTGGGATGGGCATGCAGACAGTGATCATTATTAGACAGTGGATGGCTTGAATGATGAACTGAAATGATTACACACATTAAAAATTATTCAGGATAGTTTTGGAATAACACTGTAACTGAAAGATATGAGAATAAATTCTTCGCTTTTGGAACAAGGAAAAGCTCAAAACTCCTAAAAGCAGACTTTCACAGATTTAAGAGTTACATTTGAGAGAACAGCAAGCTTTCTATTCCTAAAGCGTGGAATAGGGGTTTCCGAAACGTATTGTGGATATTCTCAGCATACGTAACCCAGGAAGCTTATGACAAGATAGATCCGAGGTATTTTACAGAAGTTGCAGTATTACCGGTACCTTTACTAACAATAAGTTATATCTGATTACGAAATAGGGTGTGATAATGGCGGCCTGTGATTAAAGAATAATCAACACATTTATCGCCTACAGGCAGGATGTAGACCAAGTAAAATTTCAATTTGGGCACTCTCGAGTTAGTGGAGGTCAGTGCAGGGACACACAATCATCACATCATCAATTTTCTTGTATAGAATAAATTTTAGAGAGTTTGGAAAATTTATTCATGTGCTTATATAGGAAGAATAGAGACAAAACTGCGCAATGTATACCTTTTGAATGAATATCTAGAAAGGAGGACGTTTTACCATTACGAAGTGCATTATATCCTGTCTGAGACGCAGGAGATAAGGACTTGGATTAGTTTTTCAACAGAAAAGATTTCAAGCTGGTTTACAAATACGCTGTGAAGCTGGATACTACATGAGGTGAGAACATTTACATTGTCAAAACGCAGTATACACTTCAGGTGCTCTACACAGACACTGGTCTATACATAAGGCAAACAAATACCGAACAAACTACTATCACAGGCAGGCGTATCAAAGGCAATGCAATTCTTAACTGGTGTGAAGTAGTGAAACCAAATGAGATAATATGCCTATGATAGAAGAATTTGAATTATTGCTAGTAGTAGTGAACTGCAAATAAAGATCACCGTTTTTGCATCATTCTAAGTTGACGAAAGTAACCATACCATCATCTCTGTTAGGAAAAGCCAAATTTCATTCACTTCGTAAACTATCGAACCCATCATTCGACTAACTTTCCCAGGTAGAATTACCCTCAAATTACTGTATTCCACCAAATGTGCTGCACTTTTGAGATTCTCGAATGTCAACATCGGCGAGCTAGGTTAATTTAGAATAATGGATGAGATGGTCATTCTGTCAACGACGCGCTAGCTGACTGCTGCAAGCCAGCCAGCAGGATATTGAATCTGCTGATCTTCACTGATATTGATCTCTCTCTCTCGTTTTTACAGAGTTCTCACAAAGTGAAAACATGTCAGAAATTTCATATGACTTGCGAGAAAAAATGTTGACTTTATAAATAAAGTTTGACCCTCCAAATTCAACTGCTGATTTAAGAAGAGGAATAAGCACTTTTTATTGTAATTTTGTGAAATCATATTTGATGTTTAACAGATTTCCGAATTCTGAACCCTCGCTTTGCACTGTGTCATAAGCAGACCTTTTGTTACCATCTATTCTGTTCTGGTATTGTGAAATATTTTTGTGTTGGTGATTGTTTTTTTCACTTAGTCAAAATGATTTCTTTAATGCAGGACAAATTGGATGGGTAGTCGGAGTTACTTTTACAATTATGCAACAAAAATAAACTTATCTACTGAAAACCACAGTAGATTATTTTCGCTGTTTGGCCTCTTCAAGAAAGAAAGCATCACTGATTTAAAGCTATTTTATGATCATCATTATTTACGAGGTTTTTCGAGAATCATGTAACATGCAGTTATCAACTACTCTATTTCAGCTGAACAAGTAAACGCTTGATGCTAACCTGTGTTCTCATCTGCCAAATCTTTATCTAAAAGCGTATTCATTCACACTTTCTACGAACGTTTGATATACGATTGATTTAAAATAGTTGCAACTGAACAATAGAAATGCTCTGTTCTGAACAGCTTTTCTTGTACCACATACAACAAATGAAAACTCATTTATTCTGTATGATCTCTTCTACTCACAAGCACATTCAAAGGCTTTTTGGCATTGATTTTAACAGGTTACTGATACATTCCTCATCCAGTTGGATGCTCAACCTCGTGTTCCGGTAGTAGTTGTACCGTGAATGTTTCCTTATGAATTGAAAAAGTTTTCCATTCTTGCTTTATCTGTGGCCTTCTGCGAGTTGCTGGATGCTCACAAGCCACCAAGAAGCTGGGACTCTTTTATTCGTTAAGACAATAAAGATACTATTACGACAGCGACTCCAAAAATGAATAAACATCTTACAGTGAACTGTTTGCTTTATTCTCATTCATTCAACTCACGAGGTGATATGATCACACTATGGGTATGTGAGCTGACGTGTTACAGCAAATATTCCTCCGAATCACTGAAGTCCATCAGGCGAAGTCTAGGTCAAAATGGATTGTTCAAGTTTCATCCACCCCTCAGATTTGTTGGTGGAGCTTAGGCTATCTGGAGGGGTAGACGGTGTCCATGCTTGGTCTCGAAGCTGATGATCAGTTGGCAGAAAGTTTCTCCAAATAAATCGATCAACGAAAGTTGAGCATTTCATCGTTTAGCCCCAACAATTCACCGGCTGAAATCCAGTGATTCTGAGGAAAACTTACATGGGTGATATACTTGCATACATTTGTTATTCTTGATTTTTTAATTCAAGGCTCCTGATACTATAGTTAACATTGCCAGGTATGTCATCTATTATCTCGGTTTAATAAACATCAATGATTACTCTCCTCTGATTTGATGTCAAACAAGCACAGGTAATAAAAAGCGGCCGACAGTAAATCAAAGTCATTCTTAGTGTATGGTGTGTTCTGTGAAACGCGTACACACGCATGACAGATAAAAATCTGTGTGAATGACTGGAGACGCGCGAATTGCATTTGAATTAACGGACGTCCACTGATTAAATGCAATCACTCGCGGTTTACATCCCAGTGTACATACTGCCATGTGAAGCTCTGTAGCACGTTACCGCAATGCATAAACTCTAGTGCAAGGAAAGCTCATTCATCTCAGTGGTTGGCTATTGAATTGATATTATTGGGCGATTTAAAACTTAATGTTCAATAAGGTTATTCTTACCCGGGAAACGATTGCACTGGCCTGTCGAATAAAAGAATGCAACGTACGTTGGAGACGAATTTCCCCCAATCCAGAAATCCCGTTATTGTCAAACTATTTTATGGTTAAAACACTTAAAACATTCATTTTTTATCAAGCCCTCTTTGTTCATAAGTTGAAAGACTTCACGAAATCAGAAAGACAGACAATGATGCGTAATCGACTTCCCTCAAACGTTTGAAAAATAGAAATTTGAGAATTTTTACCATATAATTATTGGGTTATTTATTCATAGTAAACATAAATATAACAGCAAAGTTTCGTTTTGTGAGTGTGTGGGGCTGAGGATGGAGGCTGCATTGTTTAAGTTTTTCATATTGACATATTGATGGCTTACTGGACTGATCCGAAAGACCTAGTGCTTCCCAGCACTGCGTTTGGGTCTAACGCGGTTATTCCAAGCGGTGTATTCTGCTTTCTGTGACAATGTCGGTCGTGATATCCATTGTTCTCTTTATTATTTACCTATACGATCTCAATACCTCATTAGCTTGTCACATTTTTACATCCGATGACAGAAAAGTACTCTTGGTCGTTGGGGATAGATAATCGGGAGAGGTAAATTCTATATACACGGATAAATTTGTTTCTGATTTGCCTGTGTGCGCACATGTTTGAGTCCCGGTTTGTGCGGGATTGTCTCGTATGGAGGGAACAAAATGATTAGCAGAGGCAAAAGACCCCGAATCATGAATCACGAACATGTCTTTCATCGGGGCAACGTGTGGGACATATCTGGCCGCATACCGGTTACTCGTTTGTACGGTGCATAGGGCATTTGAGCAGCGAGTAAAGGCATTCCGGGTTTGGTCTCGATTGGTGGAGGCAAATTACGATACGGATTCGGGCGGGTACCGTAGTAGGGTTTGGACGCAAGACGTGGACCGGGTCCAGCCACGACATTTGAGTTAAGCAAGGTTGGAAATGCAGAAGCCGCCATCTGTGGAGTTCCATTATGGAATTGTGGTGGACTTGTGGCGGGAGAATCTGTGTATGCCAAATTATACTCAGGAGGTTTGAGGGGTGGGCGCTCGTTCGGGAGAATCAAGGGCTTCGTGGGTGGCGTGCAGTTGGACTCAACCACCTCGGGGTAGTTCAATGCTGGATTTGATCGGATGAGAAATGCAGTATTTGAATGTTAATCTCGGTTAAATCAAAAACTATTGTGCATTGATTTATGATCATTTTTAACACCGCGACGGATAGACTTTACATTATTAGAACATACACTTTTGTGACTCAAACAACTTGGATTACTTTGAGACAATGTTATGTGAATTAGGTGAACCGGTAATCACAAAACATCCGTTTTATTTGTGTCAGTCAAATTGAAATCATCTGTGTGCTCTTAGACGAAGAATTTGCAGTAGTTGACAAAATTAAACGAGAGGCAAATACAAAGTCAGCAGGCAATAAAGCATCAATAAAGCAACATAATCTAGCGCTATAACAATTAACAAGACTGATATTTGGCTGTATCTAGTACACCAAAGACTTTAACTTATCCTGTAGTCGATGGTACGCGACTGCATAAGTGTTAGTTTTTGGTGTGGAAGAGTAATCACCTTAAGTTTCTCCGGTTGAGTGGTGAGTTTGGTTTGGTCACTGTAATCGGGGGACTTCGGACTCTGTGATCCGAGATTGGAACCTCATCACCGCCACCCAAATTTGATGGTAGGCACCTTTGCTGTGGCCTGATCTAAACTAATGCGGTCTCATGTAGATCGCCACTCCAGTTCCCCGGGCCTATATTGCAGGTTTCCACCATTGAGCAGCGATTTTTCGTGAGTATGATTTCCATCCCATTTACTCTTCACACAAAAGTGTGTAACAAAGGAAACAACAGTTCCCGGCACGTAATATGCTATCAATAATCACGAAATAGATATAAAAATGCTTACAAGTAATGAAATCCACTCGACAAATCTTGGTAGCACCTCTTAGTATGAAAAACGTTGATGAGTCTTGAGAAATAGGTGAAGATCTCTTGTTCTAGGCCATAAAATATTGGAAAGCAATTCAGTCAGTAGAAAGAGAATACATTATACAAAATTTCAGAGAACACCTCCCGGTGGAGGAGCGAAATTCTCCAGTCCCAAATAGTAAAATAATAACACTGGACGCATATGCACTTTGTTTCGATAGTAAAATCCTTGGACAGAAAAAGCAGGACTAGGTAGACTGCGTGAGAAAACACTCTGAATTTGGTCATGCCACTAATCTCCTTTCTTTTATTTAAGATGTAGAAGGGCTGTTCGATTCGTGTCAATGAACTATTTTTCCATCCAATAGGCTGATGGTCTCAGGGTATTTAAAGTCACAATGTCTATTGTTTGACCATTCCGTAGCGTTTATCTATAGGATAATTTTTCAACCCTATCCCTTGATGAATTTGAAGGGTTTTGCAAGGTGACCATGTCCTCTCCGAACATCACTACGTCATCGATAAATTCAGAGTCGGTGGTCCAAAATTCACTATAAACCTGGGCAGATTGATAGCCTTCCATTCCCTAATTGATTACCAAGTCGGCAGTTAAGTTGAATAACACTGAAGATGGCAGACATCCTACCTGTACTCCTGGAATCAGTTTGAACGGATGAAACTGTACCGTATGCACGGACATGAGCTTTCGTGCTGGTATAACAGGATCTTATCATATTACCACCGATACCATCTGAAAGCACAAAATCTATAATAACTCGTGGTCACTTGAGTGGAATGCGGCGCAAAAGCCGATAAAGCCTGCAACAATGAGATGCAGAAACTTGTGGGGCCTGAGGATGATAAGTTGGTCGTTGCATATTGTGCTGGGATAGAAAACTCCTTAGTTAGGTCGAGTCGATTAATATCTCTTTGTGGCAAAGAGATTCGGTTCAAAATAGGCGAACACTTTTGCAAATAGGTCCAGCTGAATGATACCTCGCCGATTCACACTATCTTCCTATTACTCTTTTTGAGAAATAGGAGAACTGAAGAAGTGCCATCTAAAGTTCAAGTTTTGCATTCTCAAACAGATCTGAAATGCCGTATGGGTTAGCTTGGCGATCTCCGGGAGGTCCATTTTGGATAATGCTGCCAGAATTTCGTCTTTACACGAAGCCTGTTAAGATTTCATCGGCCGAGAGCAGTAGATTTCTCCGCGAAGAACGGAGATCACGCTTGATATCGTTGCAGGAGTTCGTGTTCAAATGGGTTTGAGGGTTCACCTAGGGGACAGCGCAAAATAGAATGGGTGTGGTGTCTGTTCCCGAAAGCTGACTATATGCAGTGGAAAAGCCTACCGAATCAACATGCGTTGCCTACGTTTACCATCTCTCTAGCTTCATCTTTCTAGTACTTGCAGTATTCAGTACAGCTGGAGTAAGTTCGTTGGTGTCTAAGAGGCTGGCAATCAGGAAAATCATGTAAACTGACATTTCTGGTCAAGGTCGAGAGTCGGAAACTATCGCTGGTTATTGGCGCTAAATGGTACCTAATTGCAGGAAGTAGCTTGTTTTTTCACTGCTTTTAACCTGACCCATTGCATTCTCACCTTTTCTTTTATTTCGATTGTACGGTTGGCGCACCAGTTGTTGGCTATATTTGGATCTTCATCATCAAAGCTTAAGTTTTCTCATCGCATCCTCTTCAACTCAATTTGACATACTTCGAAAAATTGATCTCTAGGCATTTCATTAAACGGAGACTTAGTTCTGCAAGTACCAGCACTTGGTCGTATCAATCATTTATGCCGGCTTTAGCCCGGTGGTACAATCAACAATTTTCTACCGGCCAAATCCAGCGCAAACGGATCAGCATATTGCCGACATTTTACACTGTTCTAAGGTATACTAACCATGTAAGATGCTTTCTTAGTGGATGGAACCGAGTTTTTCGTTCAAATCATAGACTGTAATTATTCTGCCGCAATTTCCACAACGATGGGCTATTCCAAACGTCCAAAGAATATTAATTGCAGGATCGTCCCTTGTATTTTTACGAGCTTTCTGGTCCCCCACCCTGATAAACACGTACGTTTTGGGGATGCACTTCACCACTGCTTGAACCTAAAACCCGTCAGTTATTGCGCTGTCGAATGGAGAGATTAGGGAATAGAATAGACAAGAGTGTGTAGTAAACACGTCCATAAAATTTCATTGGAGTTTGGCACCCACTGCACTGCAGGCGTCATTCGGTGCTTTTTGTAGGGTTACCTATATTCTTTACTCAGTAAAGCGCGAGCTTCGAGGCAGCAGGGTGCTTGTGCATGGACTCCGGTGGCTCCGCAGGAGCTCATTCGCCATTTGATAGATGTGGCTGCAGTTTTTAGTGGTCGCATTTCCTTCATAGCTATTCGATCGGGTAGTAGATGTCGTCCGTCACCTCAGGAGTAGAAGTCTTTGGGGTCACAAGCTATCTCGTCAAGGCTTTTAGACCTCGGTTACCCTCAATCGAGAAATATGACGGGGTGTGGCCATTAGTGCATGCCTCAGCCTCAGGGAGCCACAAGTCAGATTTCGATGCATGATGCAGAATAAAGAGGATTAGAATGCCTCCAAAAGAACATTACAGTATGTATATACTCAGAGGTTCTAATCTTGCCAAAATCCCTTACAACAAAGCCATTTTTTCGATGCCTTGACAAAAAATTGAATTTGATATCAAGGTGGACATAACAATCAATCGATCTCAGTTAAGAGCGGCAATGTTTTAGTTGTTATTTGAGTACATTCACTTAAATCAAACAATACTGGAAGCATTGTTAGTAACGAGTGTCGACTTCTGCGCGAAAGAATGTTATATCCCATAAGACAACAATAAAATCTAGAAAACTAACAATGTGACATATGTTTTCCTCCATTGCTGTTACTTCAAAATTGACAGGTGAATGTAACACATTATGTTACGTTATCTGATATTTTGTTGGTTAAATTCTAAGCTCATCTGTGCATGTAAAATGGAATTTTCAAAATTTGCATTTTAAAGTAATTTCCCGAATCATTTGAACAGGTCTTCCTTCAGACTCTCCATTTACGCCCACTTATCGTTTCTTGCAGTCAATCCTACATTTAGGAATGGATGTAGATGAGCTTCCCTCACATTACACTTCATTAGTAGAGCCAATCTCCCTTTTCATCCGGGATATAAATTTTAGACCCATCGCTTGAAATGTGATTGTCAACAACGAGTCAAATACAAATACTTTCCGATGTATTTCTCAAATAATAGACTCAGGTCAACTATTTACATAGGTAATTATTTAGAAATAAATGAATAATGGTGGTCGGCTCCGTTGTCGGGTGGTTGAAACAAAGGTAATGCACATCCGTTCTATGTGATGGGTCAGCAATTCAAATCCCGGGAGAGATGTGGAATCTGTTTAACTGGTAAAATTTTATGAGAGTAAAGCAAGGGCGCTATCTTACCCAAGTGTGTCGTTGTTTGAAGCAATCGTGAATTGTGTTTGAAGGCTGAGGGAAAGTTAGTTTTAATGAATATTATTTATACCATTCCATATATTGTTAATCAACTTTGAGATAATTGACGGCTTCCAATTACTTAAGTTTCCATCAAAATAGTCATAATTTCATTTGTAGTGTAGTTTTATTACTTCGACAGACATTTGTCCCTGAACTCCAGTCAGAAATTTGTTAATCGTTAGACCGAGATAAAAATGCTGAAAGTGTCATATGCAAGCATGATAAAACTCTATCAAGAAGTTTTATTGGTATATTCCACAGTTTGTGTAGAACCTTCTTCTTGTCATTCAAAATATAAGCATAATATGGCATTGTTGAATGCTTTTACGATAAGCAACCGAACGTAGATGTGGTTTTATTACAAGAGAGAAGGGCAAATATCGGGATTCAACGGATGGAGATGGATTTGCCAAGAATCTGAATGCTCGCATAAGGATATATGAAGATCTATTTTTTCTGATTCTACTTTTCAGCAACTTACAGATTTCATTGATTGTTAGCAAAAATTAAATTGCATTGAGGATAAATACTAAAAGTATATGTATAAGCTTTTTCATAATTAACATAATATTGATTTGTCATAATCACTAAACAAACTAACAAACCAGAGAATTAGCTGTTTGAGTGGAAAAAATATAAAAATAGAATTTAAAATAAACACTTTCAAGTGTTTTATAAAACACCCACGAAATTAGACTATACTTCATCTCCACGTCCATCAATCGCAAAATATATCACCCCTGCTTCACATAAATTTGTATTGTTCTGATTCACTTCTCTGATAGAGTGTGAAATCAAGCTTCATGAATTCTACAGTGTTCTGTTATTGATTATGAAGAGTTATCAACTGTTAAACCATCTGTTATCTCATACACCATCTGAAAACTGTCGATCTTCTGTAGGTATACTTTCCCTCCTTATTAAGCACTGATTCTATACTGACCCTAACCAATGGGTTATTTCTCATTAAAATGTCCTTAAGACTGCTATTGAAATAAACATCAAACAACTCTACTTGAAGGCATAGCAATGGTGTTTGCCAGCACTTTTCTTTTGCATTCTATCACAAAGGTGTAGTCAAATAAACACCTGGGGTTTCCTAGCTAACTCGAAGGAACGGGTGGGGATAGACATTATCGCATAGACTCCNATTGAACTCACCTCTTGGTCCACTACCATTCGTTTGCGTTCGTGTCGGTAATGTTCCACTTTGGTCGCGATTGTTCAGTGCCATATCGGTTTGTCGAAACGGTTCTGTCTCTTGTTTGAGCATTTGCTCCGTTTCGGGATTGTTCATATTGTGCGATTGCGAAACCAACTTCGAGTTTAAATCCAAACGTGAATCGCCTTGTTTTCCGCGTTTTCGATACCAGACAAAGCCCAATATTCCGAGTAGGATACATATAACACAAACACAAACAGGAAGAATCGTACCCAACAGTATTAATCGTTGCCTATCTTTGCTTTGTACTGGACCATAAGAAGAGACTCCTGTGGGGTAAATTTCTCCATTCGGCCCACCACGGTCGCTCACTGAATGAACTTTCACAGGTACTCCTGGCTCCGGGAAATACAGTGGTGTGTTTACTTCAAGAATGAGGGCGAGAAAGGTAAACGTAGGTGGGAAACAATTGATCCTCAAAGAGAAAACCGTTCCGCTACTGTTGCGAGGAAACAATAATTACTGATACTTTTGTCCAAGCAAAATTGTGCAAGGCGACTTAGTGGAATGCTTTACACAAATGAAGAAAAAATATAAAACAAAAACAATAATTTCTGTTCCCATTGAGGGTCTCGTCTTTCTTTTAGCACCCGTCATATGTAGGGTGAATTAAATCCTGTTTTGTTCAAACGACACAGAAAAGAAACGATTCATTAAAAGATTTCTAAAAAAAATTGTGGCATTATTTCAATGATAGATTTTACATGCTGATAAATTTAAGTAGGAAAAATGGAGCATTCTACTTGATTTTATATCGATTTTTCTCGCCATACTCGCAAAAGCTTTAAAAGCATTGTAATATGTTATGAGGCACCAGAAGGATAAATGGTCTGATCAGCTGCCCAGTGGTCACATGGGTAGGTTTATAGTTGCGTTCAACCAATGAGGTCCAGGAATCGTTCTTCGGGAAGGTCGATGGATTTCCGCAACCGAAGAGATCAAATCAAATCAAGACAGCTCTACAGTGCTTCGAAGTTTTCTGGTCACGTTCCATTTCACGAGATGGAACCACTAAAACTGCAATGTATTTAATGAGTTGCAAATGCAACCAACTGAATTTGAAACATTTCCTAATGTAGGTTCCTTACCCATTAATTGGCTGCAGTATGCTGTTCACAGACTATTAAATAGATATTTGCCCCCGTTTTTTTTCAGTACAGTACGTTTAAAAACCATAACAGATTAACGAATTGGCATGTACCAATAAAGTACTTCAACCTCTGCGGGCCGACAAACGTAGCCCAAATGTTTTGAAATTCCACTTTAGAAGGCCCTTTTAGTTATTGCATTAAAATAGAAGATCAAAATACGAAAACAATACACTAATTCCGACTCTTTGTCATGGCGGATGATAAACTAATGTTTATTAGGAAAATAAGATTTTTCAAAAAATCTTCTGATGAGGCGCAATCAGAGATCAAATGCTTGCCAACCTTTTTATTGTCGGACAAAGACGTCCATTGTTGATTGGCAAATGATTGAGAGAAAAATCCTGCGCAAGCGGTGAATTTACGCTCTCAAAAACAACTGAGAACTCATATTGGTTAGGGATAAAAAGAAACAGTTACTCCCGCTTCTTCACCATTCACTCGCTGAATTGTACAGTACAGGCGGAAAACCATTGCATATTTTCTCTCTGTTATGTTTTTTCCGCAAAATGATTTCGACGGAAACTCCAAGGCACTTTTTGTGTGTCAGACATTCGCTTGACTGCCCAACAACGAAGCAATGAGTCGTAAATTTCTTGTATTCGATGAAAAAGTGACATGACCTCTAACGTAAAATTTTACGTAGGAAACAAACGTTCACGCACAACCAAAGCTTTCTTCAGTATTAACGTTTAAATACATTGAGCAAACCTCTTCCTATCATTGAGATTGAACAAATATTTGAAAGATAAATCTACTTTATGCCTATCATAATGAAACTATCATTGTATTTCACATTTGGATTATTCTGTCGAATGTGCACTGCTCTGGAAACGAAGTATTGATTTTCCCATTATCTACGAGTATGTTTATTGATAACTATCTTTCCAGAGACTGATCACAGATCAGCTCAGGGAAATTGCTATCGATCAATACTTTCTTTCGGACAAATTTGAATAGTCTTCCAGAATTGATATCAATAGTACAATGAATACTCGTATTATTATGTACTCTACCCATAGTGATGCCATGCAAATTGATTTCGGACACAAAGTGATAATAGTTCAGTCTATTGTGCTTGGAAGAAAGAAATACTGTGACAGCATTGTGTGCGTAAAAATAGCCTTACGAGGCATTATCTACTTTGCATGGCTGAATTAGATGAGTCAGATGCTAACCTGTGATGTTGCAGAATTGTATAATAATTCACTTTAGGTTGAATCTAGTAACAGGCATATCAGCTGAAGATGAATAAATGCTGAAGTCATTTTGAACTTACAAATTAGTGGTTATTATGGCGGCGTTATCTGGTAGGTAAGAAAGTAGGTGTAGAAAACACAAAACACCCTAAGGTGCATATTTATCACTCTATACCTTCACTTTAGTTACAATACGTAGTCAGCTCAGTGCATGTACAGACGGAAATCTTGTAAGAGTGAAATATTGCATCTTTCAATTCTAGTTCAAAAAGTCATTAATATGATTGTGGGCCATACTACGGTGTACACAAAGCAGGTAAGTAAAGTCTTGAGTTAGGCCATTTCATTATCGATTTATTCAATTTAGTTGATCATTGTTTGATACGTGAGTATGAACAACTGTTTACCTAAGGACTGAACAGTACCAATAGTATACGGCCTCATTTGAGAAATGTTAGTTCAAACGGCTTTCATTCTCTCTGGAACAGGTTCACAATGCATACATACATACCAATGGATTTGGCACAAGGTCCCAGACGTTCTACTTGTACTTCCTTCAAAAATCCAACGCCGGACGCTTTCAGGTGATGCGCCAGTTCGGGTAAAGGTAGCAACCCAAAACCGGTGTCGCCCAGCAATCTTCGTTCCAGATAAATAATATCCTTCTCGGGACATGCAATCGCCATTTCGCTCAACGTTGAACCGCCCGAACGTGCTATTCGTTGAAAGTGCTCCGGATAACGATAACTTGATACATTTGCAGATCCCAAGTTCAACTTGAGTCTCGAACGTTCGTGGTGCTGAGCAGCGTACGGAATCGACTGTCTTTTGCTTCGCTTCGTCCAGTTCTCTCTGATTGGGTCAAACTGAGCAGCCGGATTCGTGCTGGGCTCATTGGACTTTTTCATCAACAGCGACTTTTCGGACCAAATCACCGTAAATCCATTAGCTGTGCAGAATGAGTAAGCAAATTGATGGAGAGCGGATATGCAGTCTAAAGCATCACAATGTGTATTGAGTGAGGAGATAGAAAAGCACTTGGGAAAACCCGTCCATCAATAGTGACGAGGTAAAACTAGTGAGAATCAACGCTGAGAGAAAATATAAGGCGTAAATCTAGGCAAGACGCAAACGAGCATCGAGCACGTGGGAGTCTTTATCGTCAATCGGGTAAGCAGCGAAAGGCTATGATTGACATTTATCTAAACTGATGTCTCTCCTACCGTAAATCTGATTTACTGATAAGTGAGGAATTCGGATTTAAAAACGTGGTTCCTGGTGAAAAAATAGACCATTCAAGGAGGTTGCAAAATTTTACATGAAATACCAAACGGTGAAACGAGAGCTTATCATTTTGAATGAACTTTAATTGCATTCAATCCGATCCTTCACAAGAAGTCAAATTTAAGAACCGCATATTCTATTATGAATAATTATAATAATGAAAGTAGGAAACTAGTGAAAGCAAAGCCACGGGTATTCAGTTATTTTTATCAGGCTTGCACAAACTCTCAGTTTAAAAGTGGCCACGAAATGCTAGTCAGTTGTTACCTTCAAAATGGTTGATTCGCGTTGATAAACAGTGATATTTCAGGATTAGCTTATAGCTCCTTAGTCTACTTTTCCCTCTTTGCGCCGTGTTCTCTTCTGCAACACATGAAAAGACAGATGGGCTAAACTGTCTGAATTAGCCTCTTTACTGTGCACACATTTTTTGTCAAAGGCAGAAAATTCCCAAGTTGATTTTGGTGTTTATTCCACGCATATGGCTGTGGTAACTCCGTTGCTCACAAGTCATAAGTTGTGTCCGAAATTGATCGATGGCATTCAGTACCTCATTCCAAGCATTTTTCCAACCGGATACAATTTTATACACATACTGGTCCATAACGGAGAAACCTACCTAACCAACACTGATGAAGGGAGGGTTTCTACATCACAGCACCCTTCCCCCACCTGTGGATTTCCTCCACTATGAGAGTGAGTGCTGCAAGCCATTTAGTTGATCGTTCCAATAAGACTTTGGGGAATAATCAAATGGCTCTACTTTTACCGTTGCACACGGTCTTACGATATCTGTTTGGAGAGAGATAATTGTCGCCAGTTGCGACCAGTCTAATGGCCTGTATGTTCAGTCTCAAGAAAACTGACTTATTCCTTTTCTATTGGCGTTTGGAAAATGAACCGTAAGCGCAATTTCAAAGAACATCGTTTATTTTTGGGCTAACCGCATCCAACGTGGCTTTTGCTTCAAAATGACTGTTCAAGTCAACAAGGAAATTTAGTAAAAATGCTCTTGTGGACATGCTCTAAAACAAGTCAATTAACTGGGGAACAGAGGACCACATTATGAGGCTATCTCTGATTAGTTTGCTTTTATGTGTTTAAGATGGAACGTGAGAGAAGATCATCTCAACTTCAAGTGCAATGGGACAACCAAATCATGAAAATCATTCAATTTTCGTCGCTACCGACAATTTATTGGTGTAATATACGGTTTAGTTTGTGTAAATATAAACCATAAATGGTAAAATTCATTAACTAGATATTTTGCACATGAGCTTTAGGAGTCAAATTAGTTTTTGTACAATTATTCGGGGAATGCTTTGTACAGTTGGCTATGAGTCACCGAACAACTAAGTGACTCTGAATCCTTTAAAATTCATCCAGATGCAAGAACTCTGTCAAGCTGCATGTTATTCAAGATAGTGAGGTTGAACCGTCCCCGTATTCAAAAAGGGATGAAAGTGCTACCGTTTTTCTTCGCAGTCGAGTATTTTTGGATTTGTACGACAAAATGAACAACAGAAGGGCTTCAAACAACTATAAGTCAATATCAATGCTATAACAATCACAGAGACGATAGATTGTGCGATCAATAACAAGTCGACGCTCCACGTCCGAGGCGCAGAAATCAATCATACATCACCCGCCGATATTGCTTTTATCAGATGTTCCCGTGGATCAGTTCAAGGTAAGAAAGTGTTTTACAATTTTAACAGCCAACAAAGTTCGCAATTTATATTGACTAGAAATGTAACATTTTGATCCGTAAATCAAGCCAAATGCATGCACACTGGCGAAGCAGTGGAGTCAAACAATACTTCCGAGGTGGATCGTTGGACAAAATGGGTATCCAGAAATCTACGTCTGAAAAATCTGGAGCAAAACAAACCGATCGGAAATACCCCTCAGGCCATCGAACTTCCTTTGAAAACTAACTCAAATGCCA